TTGGCAATATACAAGCATGGAATACAAAATGATGATAATAAAAGAATTTAGACAGAAAAGGAACACTAAATAATACAACATCCATCCATCCTTTATTTAATACAGTACTTCATTACAACTTGGAAATCCTATGTCAAGGATCCCTAAATATAACCCTGAGAGTTCAACGTCAAAAGTAAATAAAAACTGAAACTGAAGTAATACATAAAACTTCTACCCTGAACTGGATCGTAAGAGTAGATGAGTTCGGATGGTGGTCCCACACTGCTAACCTCAACCTTGGAACGGGTACTGACCGTATCCTGAAATAACAACAATGGTGGGTCAACCCCACGAGCAAGTCCTCTCTACTATGACCCAAATCAGAGAATCAAATAAATTAATCATTATGAATCGGGTGAGTACTATATCTGTATACATCCTAAGGGAACTATCCAATGTATAACATGACCTCAACCAGAATAGACAGTGATCACTTAGACTCACACTAGGTGGTTAAGTGTCGCCTTTCCCTACCCGGGAAATCAGCTATTATACATGGTGCACGGTACTGACAACACAGACTATAACGAACTACACAGTGATAACACCTTGCAAAGTACTGATGAATATACTGAGCATATAAATTAGGCAACACATGCCAACAATATTAATAAATATACCGAGTATGTCAATTAGGCAACACATGCCAATAATATTAAACCACATACCCCGACAGCCACACATCTGTCTATAGCAACGAATGCATAAGGTATAAATGAGTCTAAACTTATTAGCCAGCTCATATGGTTCTATATGGCAACACATCCATATAATATAAATGCGACATAATTAAACAGTCCATTTATTTCCTGAAATGCACACAGCATAATAATCATGGTTTATATATCAATTAACAGTATAAACATCCCATAAGATATCATGGATAATTTATCTGACTAAAACCATGGCCTTATTTAATTTAACAGTAATGTTTGATACCATTTAATATGATAATAACACTATTTATATTTAACAATGTCGTTAAATAAATCACATTAGTATCCGTACTGTGAACGAGCCAATAAATGCTTAGAAAAGATTAATCGGTCATAAGAATAAGTAACGGGTGTTAAAATAATAATTTCGTGGCCCGTTAAACGCGTAAATACCAACACAGTACCTAAAAATCCACGTTTAAGGTTCTGGAATTTACAAAACAGGCCCTAGGGGTATTCTGGTAATTTCCAGCAGCTGACCGGGCCCTTCACGCGCCCCCACGCGCAGCCCTATGTTTTCCACTCTCTCACGCGCTCACACGCGCCTCCATGCGCGTCTGGCATCAGCCACGCGCGCGCACCCGCTCCCACGCGCGCGTTGATGGCTTCCTGCTGATGTGGCGTCCTCCGGTTGGTTGGTTGCATCACCTTTCCTACATGCGCGCCACACCGGATCAATCCACCTATGCTCCTTTCATCCTACGGCTGATGATTAGCGCGCACCATCATATGGTGTCCCGCGCTACACCGAATCAATCTAAGGATTCACAACCCATCTAACGGCTGCTGATCCATGCGCATGCTTGCTACAATACACCGCAACACACCAGATAACTCCGGTCACCTTCTTCACTGCCGGTGGCCGGAAAACTCGCCGGAGTCTCGCCGGAAATTGCAGAAACTTACCGGAAAATTCTAGAAAATTCTAAAAAAAATCCCAAAGGCCATAATAATTATTTTTAGCTATATTTTGATTACATAGGCCATAAAATAATTGTTGACCACCTTTAATAATTAAAATTTCCTTTCTTTAATAAATTAAAAAATTTAATTTAATAATTTTCTAGCATGATCTCTAAGCTCTATAATTATTTAAATAATCTAAACAATTAATTTATGGATTCAAAGGGGAAAAGTAGATAATAACTTGCCTTTAGGATTTAAAATAAATCCGCCGGTCTGCGCGTAGTCGGGTAAATTGCCTACGCCGGTCCAAGTTCCCTTCTTTCTCTCTCTTCCTTTCACTCTTATCAAGTAACTCACAATAACTTATTTCTCTTCTTCCTCCGTGAATCCTCAACCCAAAGATAATTAACTTCTATATATAACTAATTTATATAATTTAAATATTACAAATATCTACTTATCATTACTTCCTTAACCTCCCCATCCTCTCACCTATATTCCATTAAGCCTAATACCCCTAAGTCCTCTATTTCACATAAATGAAAGTTTCATTTCAAACATACATCATGACTTTGGCTTAATAATATTATTATTATTATTTCCACTATATTATTATATTCTAATTATTGTTATACTATTATTATTCTTATATTCTAATTTTTATAAAACATAATCCATAAAATATAAATACTAACCTTAGGATAGGTAGAGCACGTAATATACAAAGCACGATATAATATTATTTTATTATTTATTATTCTTACTTTATATTATTATAAAACACAAATAAATAACATATAAAAAATAGCATTATAATACGTAGTGCACATAATCAACATTTCACGCACAAATAATTAATTTAATAATCTAACATTTAAAAGATGAATAAACCTACACATTATAACATTAATTTAAATAATCACTTCCAAAAATACGGGGTATTACAAAAATCCCATATTTAGAAAACAAGAACAAAGATTTCGATAGCAAAAAAAAAAAAAATTAGAAAACAGAACAAAGATTTCGTTACAAAAAAAAGGAACAAAACCCAATATTTTTTTTGAAAAATTTCTTGTAAACCGAATAAAGAAACATGATCAAAGATTTCTTTACCAAAAAAAAAAAAACCATATTTAGAGAACAGGAACAAAGATTTCGTTTAAAAAAAAAAAAAAAAATCTCATATTTAGAAAAGAGAAACAAAGATTTCGTTAGAAAAAAAAATCCTATATTTAGAAAACAGGAGCAAAGATTTCGATAGCAAAAAAAAAAAAGAAAACAGAACAAATATTTTGTTACAAAAAAAAAAAAAAAAAAAAAAAATCCCATATTTAGAAACAGGAAACAAAGATTTCTTTTAAAAAAACCCATATTTAGAAAACCTCATTTTAGGAAAGAAAATAAAGAAAACCAAAACCGCATTAAAAAAACACCATATTTTAATAAATCAGGAACAAAATTTTTGTTAAAAAAAAACCCATATATTTTTTTTTTGTAAATTAACAAAACGATTTCAAGAAATATCAAGGTTGCAATAGAAGCAGAACAAAGATATATAGATATATATATATACACACGAATTTATTAATATAATTTAGAAAAAGAAGAAGAAAGAATAGATTAATATAGATATATATATATATATATAGAGAGAGAGAGAGAGAGAGAGAGAGAGAGAGATAAAAATGTGTTGAGAGAGAACCCGAGATGTGTGGAGACCAAAGCAGAATAAAGATACTGGTTGATCTTGACGAGATCGCGAAATCAGCCTCCAGAATTAAGGTTTTAAGATGATCATGGTGACTGGAGTTTTAGGCATAGATGGTGATACGAAGAGGAGAAGAAATATTCTAGGGTTTCAGAGATGGTGATACGAAGCGGAGAAGAAATGATTCGCACAGAGAGAGAGGCCGTATATCTGGTGGGTGGTTAGAAGATTAGATTGTTGTTAATCTGGCGCCACTTGGCGCTAATTTGTGGTGCTAAAATTTTGAGGGGTAATTATGTCGTTTTGACATGTAATGATATTTTGTAATAAATTTGAATTTAAAATTAAGGGGCAATTTTGTCTTTTCATATGATTTAAGGCCTTGTTTGGATGGAATTTTTTTAAGGGGGTGTCATTGTCCCAAAAACAGATAACTTTCACCTGAGTGTCCTTATGCCAAACTTCAGGGGGTGTTAGTGTACTTTACCCAAAATATTTAAGGCCTTGTTTGGATGGAATTTTTTTAAGGGGGTGTCATTGTCCCAAAAACAGATAACTTTCACCTGAGTGTCCTTATGCCAAACTTCAGGGGGTGTTAGTGTACTTTACCCAAAATATTATGTAAAATACATAATAATTTTACACATTAGTGACCGTGACCGTGTATCTTAACAAACTGTTGGAAATAAAAAATAAATTACACATCATACATGGCCATATATATTTTATACAAAAGAGTATTTTAACATACTACTAGAGATGTCCCACACTTCTATTCTCTCTACTTTGTTGTACTTTCTTTGCTTAGTGTTCTTCCTATAATACAAGCCTTTGCTACTGTATTTGTGAAATACTTTCTCATGGATCTCATTCCGGGTCTTCCAAACGATGTGGCACTCGATTGTCTGATTGGGGTTCCTTCAAACTAATTTCCTACTGCCGCGTCAGTCTGCAGAGGGTGGAAGGTTGAGATTGAAATGCCGGAGTTCCGACAGCTCCGGAAGGCTGTTTGCATGAGCCGATCCGGTATCATGCCAAACACTTATTTAGCCACTCATGTCATTATTAGACTGAATAAAAAGTTTCATTACAGTAGTCAAATGTCTGTCTTCTCATTATTATTGGACTGAATAAAAAGTTTCATTACAATAGTCATATGTCTGTCTTCTCATTATTATTGGACTGAATAAAAAGTTTCATGGGCTTCATTACAATATTCATATGTTTTTTACTTCTCATTCTTTCCTATAAACTGAGGGATCAAAAGAAAGCCCAGGCTCAACTTGACCATAAGCAAGACAAATTTAGGGAAAGAAAGATGTATACAGAGGGAGAAAAAAGGACGGTGAGGGAGAGTGTGGTGTGAGAAAACTGGTTTGAGACTTTGATGGGAATGGTGGGCCAAAGACTATGATCCAGTAAAAGATGATGATACACCAATTTACTTTAATCCAAGTCCTCTAAACATCTATTCAGATTTTCACTATAGGAAACAAAGGAACCAAAAGAACATCGGCTGAGGAACTTAAAAGTCCCCAGGTACTGAGAAGCATATAGATCAACCAGCCATCACTAACTTCATCTGCATGCAAGTTATATGAGTGAAATATTGCTCAACAAGAACAACAAAAACCGAACAAATCAGAGATGGTCATTGGAATTGAGATAAAAAAAATATCCATATGATGAAAACAAAACAACAACAACAACAACAACAACAACATGCTGAAATGGCCGAATGACAAAATGAGTAGAGAGGTAAACTTGCAGCCCTACAACACTGTACAGAGAAGCTCACGAGTCAGTGCATCATTTTCCTTTGGTAATCATTCAGGGCCTGGACTTATTGGTTGCAGCAAGTTCAACAGATACGATGAAAGTTGATTTGCCCGCTTCCCTCAAATACTGAACATCTCCATTCATGAGCTTCACCAGTTTTCGGCTGATAAGCAGGCTGATACCCTCCTCGTCCGTATCTCCATCACTTCCGAACATTTGGCTCAACAATTCTTCCGGTACCCCACCTCCTGCATGTGTAATCCTGCATCCAAGAATATAAGACAACAATTGATTATTTTGACCAAGTTTTCAATAAAACAGTACATGAGAAGGTGAAACTATGTCAATCAAATTAGATGGCTACAGCGATAAACGAATTTCATTGTTTGAAAATCTAAGCCAAAACATCCTAGACACTCGGTCTACACATTCCAAACACTTGCTCAACATAAGGCTTATATAACACAAGGACATTAAAAAATAACTAGGTCCAACAATATGATCACACCCTAAAGTGTCCATTTTTTCTTTTATTATTTAAGAAAATCGGGCATTTATACATATAATTACCACAAGTCAAGCATGCAATAAGCACATATAATATAATAATCTTAACGATATTTCCATAGTTTCACCTTCTAAATGTAACTCTTAGTATAAAAATCAAACATCAATTAATGTCCTTAAAGCCCATTTTTGCTAGTACCTGAATTCTGCATGTGCAAGCTGAACTGATTCTCCCAAATGATCTTTGGCCAGACTAGCCGCAATGCCAAGCTGACCTCCATTAGACATGTAATTAACCGATATCAGTAAGAAATCAGCTAGGACCTGTTGAAGCCTCAGACTGTCTCCATATAAGGTTTCAGACATGATCTCTTCTGCCATATCATTGACTATTTGGATACCCTTTCCATTGCTCCTTGTCATAACTTGACTAATGGAGGCACCAACAACTTCTTGCAGCGTAAACTCAACCATTTCCAGATCCAAGTACCTGTCAAAAATTGGGAAAAAAAAAAAATGCTAAGTTCACAACATATCACATAAGATTCACTGAACAGAATCATTCTACTCCTATCTTTTATTTTTTTATTTTTTATTTTATTTTATTTTATTTTTCTTTTTTATCAATTTATAAATCTGAAACTTTTCCCCATATATATGTGCATAACTATTACCAAACAAACACCATGTAAGTGTCCTTTAACATTCTTAGTAAAACTGAATAACACTTCATATGAATTATATAACTACCCTGTGCAAACATGATAAATTATGAGAAGGTGAGGATACTATTAGCCCCAAGATTAACATTCATGCTTTTCATACACTGCTCAATTTGCTCAGGTTACATTTGGTAATATTCCCCATATCATTTCCTAAATTTGTTATTCACTTCATTTCTACCTTAGTTTAATAGGGATAAGAGTTGAATCATTAAATGATAGAGAATTGTCAACTCAATGGGCCTTTCTCTTGTTTTGTTCAAACACTTCTTCTTTCTAGTTTTCTTATGTTTTTCTTGGTTTACTTTGGTTCCATAGATATCTCAATCCATATATGCCTTCTATAATGCCACAACATTCTGTTTTAGGTTTTTATTTCATTATTTTTTGGTCAACTTTTGCATTATATCATACATAGAATAAGATTTCAGTTTTTTATACTTAATATGTGAAAACATTAAACTATTGTAATTTTGACAACATGTTTTGAGGGTGACGAGGAGAGAACTGTAGGATTCAGTCTACATGAATGCAAAAGAGACATTTGGTTCCTTCCCATATCATAACTTAATTCCAAATTGTAATCTTCAATAAAGTTGAAGACCAGACCTCTAATTGGGGTTAAATATTTATTAGGTTTCTTAAGTGTCCTATAATTAAGTGGCGACTCTAGCTTTAAAGTTGAAAGTAGATCAAAACCCGACGTCCACAATCACATAATAGTGATAGAAATTACAGGACTCCATTGTCTACCAGAAGCAGAAATAACAAATGCTGGGGAGCACTACTCCAGCAAGAAAAAGCCCACTATATTTAAGCCAAAGGATCTCTTCTAGAAACTAAAATCTTCTAGATGACAAACTACCTGATTTGTAAAAAATAATTAATGAACTCGTTTAACATTGACTCCAGCCTCTATAGCAAATCCATTTCCATAATCAGAATGAAAGCTGGAGCCAAGAAATCAGGTGGGTAATGTTTGATGGATTTTAATTCAAATCAAACTTGAATAATTATTCTATTAGGAGAACATATATTACATATAGAAGGAATTTTAGGAAAAAAACCACGATAATTTGAGAAAACTTAAACAATGCAAGAAATGAAATTGCTTAACGATAACCAATTGGGTAATGAATCATTGAAGTGCATTGTACTATACATACCCGTCAATGATGCTATCAAGGTCTACATCATCAAGAATTTTGTTGATCTGACGTTGGCACTGGGCACTAGTATGCAGAAGCTGTTTCTGTTCTTCTCCTAAGTCAGTTCCCTCCATCATCTTCCGAGAAAATATTATCCCCGAGAGAGGGTTTCTGATCTGCCGTCTTATGTAAGATAATGCTTTCAATCTCTTCAATGCTGTCTGCTCTGATAAGCGCTGAACATGAAGTGCTTGTTGCAGCTCTAGACTTGCCAGCTGCAAGAAGCAAAAAACTCCAGTGACTGCACCTTCTCCATCCAGTTTCTTGCTCACACAGAGCAGGCATTCTATGTACTTTCCATTACGTGCAAAGAAACCAAATGAAATCTTTTCAGACTCCTGACCAGTCATAGCATTGTTAAGTACAATACCAAGATTTACAAAAGCCTCTCGATTCTTGAGACGACAGTATGCTGTGTTGATCCCAAAAACCTCCCCCAAAAGCATTTTATCAATAACCTCCTCTCTATCCCATCCAGATAATTTTTTCATTGCTGCATTCCACTCAGAACACCATCCAAATTCATCGGTGCCAAATATTGGGGGAATCAACGGATTCGGGTTCTGTACAATAGCTTTGTAATCACCTTCAATCCGGGTGAATTTGTCCATGACATTCTTCTGGCCAGTAATATCTTGTGCCACAAAACACACCCCCACAACATTCTCTTGAACATCCTTGCTTGCACATGCATTTACAAGTAAGCTGATGGGACCAGAGTCACTCCTAGAACCATGTGTTTTTATCTCAAATTGAATATTTTGCTCCTCTTTGCCTGGTTAGAAGACAGGATAAGACCAAAATAAAATTAAAAGATTAGCTTATATGCATTTATAGATATCAAATAAGTACCACATCCCTTCTCTCAAGCATGGTAAGTTGAACTTTCTTCTTCCCTACGTTAAGGGTATAACTTTAAATGAAAAATAATGGCATTTGATTTTATCTTTTGATCTTTTCTTAGTCTCATGTTTCATGTGATGAACATTCACATAAATTTGGAGTAAACAGTAACTACAAAATCACATGTACACACTGATAGAAACAACATAGAGACCAACTTTTGAGAGTGAAAGGCAGATAATCAAGCTGAGAAGGATAAATCAGAAAGTTTAACAAGCTAGATTTCTTTTAAGTTATATAATTTAGTATTGTTGCTAAATCTAGGCTAGAATATTCTAGCTATAGGGTTCCACCCCTCATGACATATGCCTCACAGGCAATTGTTCAAAATGCATTGTGCAGAATGTCACCAGGTGTTTCGAGGAGGTTGATTTGGTGGGGAATAAAGAAGTGCTGACTAGGAGGGTGATGTGGGAAACTTACCAAAATATTGGGGCAAATAGACATATAGTTTCCTTATATGGTCCCATTTTCCCTGCACCTCATCTGTGATCACTTCTCTCTAGCACATATATGCACTTGAAGATAGAGAGATAGGCTGACAAAACATTGTACATAACACAAGACACAAGTCTCCATCTCATTAGCTGTCTTTCACATGTGTATAGGCATGCGTGATTTGACTATAGATACCCCTTCCATTCACAAAGCAAAAGCTCCTCCGGCATGTGTATAGGTACTTGTAAGCTAGTAGGTGAATTTGTTCTTAGAGTACTCCGGCATGAAGTAACCTCCTTAGCTAAGAAGCACAACCACTTCTATGAATGTGCCGTGGAGTCATGACACCGACACTTTGTGACACTACTTGATTCGTATCCAAAAAAAAAAAAAAGTATCCATAATTCAAATATAAATTTAATTGTATCCTACATTTAGCTAACACTAGTCACATACTCCCTGATACAACTCATATAGTACAAACACAAAGTAATAGGGGTCATATTCATCAATCCTAGAAACTAGGCAAACACATACTAAAGTATACAATTTTTTTTTAATGAATACATTATACGCGTGGCGACTACAAAGCAAGTATGCAATGAGACTACTCTACATTGGACAAGAATACAAGTGCGATGACAAAAACATAATAGGAGAGTATTTGTGGCTAGGAAGCACATACATGCCTAAAAGGTCGAAGCGTTTGTGTCAGACACGGAGACACGTTGGACGAAGCCCAATACTCATTGGACACACCAAAAAAACATATCTAAATATTTTTATTATTGGACATGCCGTGGACACACGATGGACATGCGAACACGCCTCGGATGCACGTCTAAAAGTGGACTTTTAACAAATTTCGAAAAAATATGAGTTAAAATAAAAAGTACGTGAAATTCTTTGAAAAGTTTCAATAATATGGAGGCACAACAACAACAACAACCACCAAGGCCTTTTTCCCTTACTACTTGGGATCCGCTAAAAAATAGAAAGTTATTTAAATGTAATTTATCAAGAAATTTTATTTACTTGATCCTTTTATAGTTATTTCTTGTTTGCAATCGTAGAAAATCACAAAGAGAAAATGGTAACAATCTTGCTTTCTATCGCGACCAAGCTTCTTACTAAAACGAATAATGGAAGCTCGACTTCCTGTGAACCTTCTTCTGGTCCTTCAATAAATCCTCTTTCTCTATCTTTTTCTTTTCTTTTTGTCCTCTTCTTTCTATTACAAACCCTTTCTTCATCTACAGGTTCTCTCATTTATTATCAAAAAAGAGCTTCTTTTTTTCCAACAACATCTTGGTTTTAATTTTTCTTTATTTAACTGATTTTATCTCTCCAAGTAGATTTCTTTTTCCTTTTCTTCAGAGAATCCTTGATTTTAAAATGGGTTTAGAAATTCTATTTCAACTCTCTCTCTCTCTCTCTCATTTATTTTCTTTCATTCTTTATACAACTGTAATATTTTGTCTAGCTATGAACTTGGATTACAACTACTTTTATAAAGGGAGCTTAGAAATTATGCTACAGTTTTTTTTTTTTTTTTTTTTCTCTGCTTTAATGAGAGAATTGTTGTTGTTGTTCATTAGTTATTGTGATATAAGGTTTTTGATTCCTAATTGATGAAAAGTAATATTAGTCTTATACAATAATATATTGTCACATATATTAAAATATGAATCTATTATTCGCTGTGTCACCAACATGTGGCTTGCGTCCTTGTCTTATTCTTTTAGGATTTGACGTATATCCGTGTCCATGTCATGTTGTAGCCTTGTCATGTATCCATATTTGTGCTTCTCACATATATGATACATATAATAGAATAATCTTTATGAAATATTATTTTTAGTTTCCTCTTCCGCATCATGCAATTCTTTGTATTAAAAACTCAATCAAGTTCCTGTAATTGTCTTGTCTAATAGATTTATAAAAAGAAACAAATATATATATATATATATATATATATATATATATATATATATATATATATATATTATAGAGTTTGCATCAGCTTATGCTTTTGAACACGTTAACCACTAATAAGACTAGATAATTGATAAACAAGGTGATCTAAATATTGCACAAAGACATACCTTGTATTGCCAAGTGCAACATCTTCTTGACTATGTCAGCTGATGAATCTTCCACAAGGGTTAGCAAATGCCTACCAAGTGCTTTATCAATCGGAAGACCGGTTAACTCAGCAATTTTTGTATTCCATCCATTAACCAGCCCATCTACATCAACTGCTAAGATTGGGGCTGTCGCTGTTTCAATCAAACGAACCATCTCACCTGTCACTGCTTTCAGTTCTTGCATCCCTGCAATCTTCAGGTCATTGAGCTGCTTATGGATGGCATCGGCATTTAAATCGATGGCCTCTGCATCCTTGAAAGCATTTCTCAGGATAAGCTGCAAAGAGTGGATTGCATCCATCTCATAGTCCTTCCAAGGCAAACTCCTCGTCTTAACAACTTCAAGGAAAGCTTTGAATGAGGATCTCGGATGCATCTTCCTACCATCATCCTTCTCACCTGGTTCATGCTTCGCTCCTCCCCATCGAATGTCTGCAGCAGTGTGGGACCTGAACCAGAAAAGCATGTCTTTGGAATTTATCCTCACAGCTGCCATCCCACATACTACACCACCAAGAACAAGGGCCCCAGGGTAACCTGCATCATACAAGCTATCTGTACTCAAACCGGTAGAGTCCATATGAAATTCAGAGAGCCAAGAGACTATATCTTGCAAATGGAAGTCAATCGGTGTTACTCCAAGTCTATATATCTTATTTTTGTAAAACAAAGCAGCCCCATCACATTTCACAAGATCCATTATGTTTGGGCTCTGTGACACAATACCTAGGGGTGCATCTCGCATCAACATATCACACAAGAGTGTCTGAGTACGCAAAATATTCTTCTCAATAATCTGATTTTCCAATTCTAACTCCTTACTGACATGGATGGCAAACACTTGAGCAAGAAATTCACAGGCATACCGCAGAGGGAAGGGAACAAACCTCGGAGTTGTGTTATGGCACACCACTAAACCCCAAAGCCTCTTTTTTTTTTGTGCTTGAGCAGCATCAGAGCTATCACCTGTTTCATCCTCCTCATTTACTACAACTGCCATAACAAGAGAAGCTATGGAATTCATGTTCTCCATATATAGCAAGTGGCAACTATGTGGAGCTCTGAGGGTCGAACCACACAATGTTAGATCAAATGGAAGCTTCTCATCTTGGAGCACCTTCACATTTTTTGCATTACAGTCACAGATCATACGCACCTTATTCTTCATAAATAGAAAGCGTGCAGCCTGAGGGATGTCTGTAGCTGGATAGTGCAGGCCTAGATAAGGCTCAAGGCCTGGCTTTGTAAGCTCAGACACAACCTCGCCATGATCATCATCATGAAATTTATAAGCCATCACCCTATCATATCCAGTAAGTTCAAAAACCTCCTGAACCATGGTATCACAAAGCCTTTCCATGCTTCCACTAGACAAAGTCTGCAACCGGTTAATTGCTTTGGCTGCAAGCTTGTATGATTGCAAAGCCCCAGCAGCAGTCATGGGGACCTCATAAGGCTTAACGGGCTCAAAGTCAATGATCAAGCTACCTGTTACCCTGTGGACAATGGCATAAAATGGCTTTCCAGAAGTTTTGCAATGGACTAAAATGGGATTCAGAAGAGAAACCTCCCCAAATCCCAAAGCCTTTTGCAATGCAGCAGCACTGGGGCCAGTAAAGATAGTCCTCACATCAGTTCCAATGCCAAAAACTGGATGGTCTCCAACGCTTGGAACAGCATGACTAATCATTGTTAGCATTTCAGGAGCATTCTCACTGTAGGCAATCACTTTAAAAGTTTTCTCATCTAGTGCTAACAAGCACCCAAATGGCTGGATCAGCTTGCCTTTCTGTATGTTGTGGAGGTAAGCTGTGGTTAGTTTGTCAGATCGTGGTTGTGGATCTCCGCTGACTGCTTCGGTAAGACGCACTGAGCTCGAGTAGTCAAAGGAGCTCCCCGACTCCTCAAAATCTGCATGGAGCTTTGCATCTACATTGGTCTGTGCAATAACTATAGAACTGTGTCTTGATCGGCCAGAAGTGCTGGAAGACTGGTTAGGTCTCGAGGATGACATTTTAACCCAAACTGGATAAGAGAAAAGGAAAAAAAAAAATTAAGACAATATTTATACCCCAAATCCCATTTCAAAAATAAAAATAAATAAAGAAGAACCACTTCAAGTTTTTCCAGAGTCTATTCTTTAAAAATTATTGTTGGCCTTAGTTTCTTATAGTCATCATAATCATTCATGGAATTCAATTTGAATATGCTTTACATGATACTGAAAACATCAAATTTGTTAGAAGTCTACCAAGATCACAAAACTCCAACAGGAAATTTAACCAAGTCTATCCAATATAAGCTACTTCTATTGTTCGACACTAGAATATAACAATACATCAACTGCGATAATAAAATGTTATGTGAACAAATCAACAGAAAAAGCAACATAGATAGGTAATCTGTACCAAAGAATACACAACCCTCTTGTAACCACAATGATAATGAAGCATCATTTTCTCTTAAGCTCCGATTGCAAACTATCTTTGTTGTAAAATATTTTTAACATAAAACCATTTACATGGAAAGTTTTATTTTTAAATTTTATCAATTGCATATGTCATATTTAACATGCTTCTAAGTTCTATCTTGAAATTTGCTGTTTAGTTGAGATATTTGATCTAACAGTTGGTGTACAAACTAGAAGTACAGAGGATGAATTCAACACAAAAGGGTAACAAAACAAAATCAAACTGCATATTGTGTACAAATACATACACGTGTGTATATGGAGAGGATTGAAAAATGAAGTAGCTAGATGAAATGTTTGACACACATACAAACATTGGCCACCATCTAGCAGTCCATAATTTAAAAACAACAAACAAATCAACCTAAATTAAAATTTTCTATACACACATTTATATATATAGAGATAGAGATGACTGAGGATATTCCATATACGCGTATTTATTTGAAAAAGAAAAAAGGAAAAAAAATAGAAAAAAGAAAAGACTAAACAGGGTTATGATTTATATATGTGTATAGAGAGAGAGAGAGGAGTGAGGATATCTAAATTGAGACAGGACTAAGAAATGAAGTTGTTAGAGAGACTATTGTACTCTCCCAAACACGGGGAAAGGAGGAAAATAATTATCAAAAAATATCTTTAGAAAATATCTTCCAAGTCAAATTTATTCAGTTGATATACTAATAAGCCACAAAAGAAGAACATTTTCAACTATGATATAAAATTAACCACTTATTTATGATATTAAGAAAACAAAACTGGTATAAAAAAAATTTTTAAAAAAATTACAGTATACAAACACAGCCTTAATCAAATTTATTCCGTTGATATGGTAATAATAAGCCACAAAAGAGCAACATTTTCACCTATCAGATGAAATTAACCACTACTTCATGATATTACGAAAACAAAACTTGTATAAAAAAAACCCAAAAAAAAAAAAAATGGAAAGTAAATTAAAAGAGAAAAATGCCAGAAATGAAGAACTTCTCACAGTGAAAGAGATTGAAGCTCTGACCCTTTTCAGCTGAAGAGGCCAAACCCACCAAACTCAAATCAAATCTTGTGCTAGTGATGCTGAGACTACTTGAAGAACTCGAAAAACAGGACAGTCAAGTTGGCCACTAGAAAGCAATTCCACCATAGATAACCTCAATTCCAATTTTCCCAAAACCTCGATCACCGAATCCTTCTCACCAACACTCGAAGCAAGAAAAGGGACCACACCAACAGTACTCTCTACTCATGAGCATACCCTTATAAAGTTATTGATCATTCTCCAAGATTATATATATATATAATATATGGAGATAGAGGGGTAGGGGAAGAAAACTGGGGACTAAGAAGAAGGCAATCCAGAGTGGTGGTTTTGTTTCCAAACATAGCTAATGTAGGCAGTTGATCCCACTAAAAATAGCATAAACTGGGATTTCGATTCGCTGTCACAAAAGGGTAAAAATATAATTATACATAACATAGTCAGTTTGGATTAAAAAATTGGAAAGTGGGTTCTGTTCTTATCCTCATATAGATATATAATTCTATATATAGATAAATGTCTATATTATTGAGCAGAGCACCCATATGGGGGGTATGTAACAGGGCAGCGTTTGGAGATCGTAAGGGGGCGGAGGTGGAAAGCCCCATACGATACGTAGAATACAAACAGAGGTGAGGGTTATGGAATTCACGTGCCCTCCACCATCTGTGTCAGAAAATCGCAGATGAAACCAATCCACTGTGTGGGTCAGATTCCCGATTAGCCGGCATCCCCACTCAGATTGCCCATACATCTCCTATGCTTTTCCTTTTTTTTAGTTGTGTGTGTTTAATTTGGATCAACAATAAGATAAACAAGAGTTTAGTATTGAAGATTACTTGTTAGGTTATAACTTATAAATTTTCAAATTCGAGGTCAAAATCAAGACTGCCGAGGAAAGAAATCGACTAAATTAAGATAATATTTAATAAAGTAGTATTATATGTTTGCTTTAGACTCCCATCCCATGTGAATTGAGTAGGCCTTTTCCCATTACGGATATCTACTCTAATATGTAATTTTAAAAATTATTCTAATGAGTTACTCAATTCACTTGTAGCGAACTTGTGCACGGGTCTTGAGATGCACAGTCTTATAAGTGGAACAAATAAATAAAATCTTTGAACTCAAAACGAATAATACCTTACCGAACAAAGTTTGGCAAATAAGTTCCAACCCTATTCATTTGCTTGGACTCAGATTTTTGATTAATAACAAATTCAATTCCAATGTGATTGTAAACCAACTTGATTCATTTGTAGCCACATGTATGAGATGAAATACCTAATTCTTTCGATGACAGTCCAATTTTGGGATAAGTTTTTTTGGGTGAGTTCTAAATATCTCAAATTTTAACTTGTATGAAATTTGTAAATATGTATTTTCAATTTAGTAAATAGTTATAGTCCCTTACCAAAAAAAACATCATTTGTAATCAATTTTTATTTTTTCTAAAATAGTAATATTATTTTCGCTTTTAAAAGTATTTTAGTATATATTTTAGTATAAAATACCAAAGGCTATATATAGCCTAGTGGCATTTACTCCTGGCTCCCAAAGTGAATATATATATATATTTATATATATAATATTTTAGAAAATGAACCAATTATATAAAATTTATAAATTGAAAAAAATTCTAATTGCTAAGAAAATATTGAAGATTTCTGAATAGTCAAACAAAAAAGAATAAAAACAAAATAATTTTGGACAAAATCATATTACCTCCGTCCCAAAAAAGAGTGTCGTGTTTCTGGAACAGTGACAGTTTAACTTGTGAGAGTTACGATTCTCTAAAAGTGACTTTTTATTAAACGAAGGAAGTAATTTAAAAAAATTAGTTATAACTTAAGAAATGTATAACTGGAAAAGTAATATGTTTAAAAGTGATGTGGAAGTAGATGGTTTCAAAAATAGGATTTGATGGTTATATTGAAAATTCTACCGATCTTGTTGGTATTTACAATGGAAAAGTAGGACCTATTGGAAATTTTTTCTTATAAAAATATAATAATGGTTAGAAAGTAGTACCTACTGGAAATTTTCTTATAAAAATATAATAATGATTAGCTGGCTGGCAGTTTTTTTTGTTTAAATAATTAGACGGGATATCATTTTTCGTACTACGCTGACGAGAGAATTTCCTAGTGGAGCTTTCACCTCACGCATGATTTGCATCCCACAATGTGTCCATCCAACGGTTGAAAATATGCGCTACCGATAATTATCATTATTATTTATTTTTTAACTATTAGTTTACTATTTTTTAAAAATATATATATATATATAAAATATATTTTCAAATGTTGAACTATTTGAAAGTGATTCGGAATTTCACAGCTAAAAACTTACTACGAGGGATTTAATAGTTTATCTACCCCAAATATTCATCCTTATAATTTATTTTCAATAGTTTTATCTTATAATAGATCATGACATAACTTATTTAGATTCTCTTATAAAGAGTAAATATTAGTTGTGCCTAGTGTATAACCCGTCTGTGCACAACACGTGCGGACGTGTGACGTGCACACGCAGACATTGACGGTTAGGCACAACAAATATTTACTCCTCTTACAAACTCTTTAACTAAAGATTCCGTTAAGATAGATTAGACAAAGTCAAAGTTTTAGACGTAACTTTTGTTAGGGTTTTGGATTACCAAAAGAAGAAGGTCAAATAAACCAAAACAGTTAAGCGGTTTCTAAAAAGGATTATCAAAATAATGGTTAAACAGCGGTGTATTCTTACTCTTTAGAATGAATGGTTTTTTTTAAAGGATTATCAAAACAGCGGTGCATACTTATTCTTTAGAAGGAACAGTTTTTAAGAAGAATTATCAAAACAGCGGTGCATTCTTATTCTTTAGAATGAACGGTTAAATCAAAATAATGTTAGATCAAAACAACCGTGTATTCTTATCTTTTCAAATCAACTAATAAATATTTTTTTATATAAATAAATCAGTTCTGAAATACTGAAACTCTTTACATATTTAATAATAAAACTCTTCTTTGGCATAGCTTCTGTATTTTATAAATAAAAACTATTTTTATATCAATTATTAAAATATTTTTTTATATAAATAAATAAATACTGAAACTTTTTTGCAGAACTTCAGAAATTCTAGGTCTATGCCCCCTCTGAATTTTTAAAATTCTCAATTTTTTTTTAGAAAAAATGTTTTATTTTTTATATCAATTAAAAAGTATTTTCTACATTACTAATTCTAGTCTAAATAGATTTTCTTTTCTTAAAAAACTTATAATAAGTAAATAAATAGTTAATTTGTTTTAGAGTTTAATAGAAACTCTTTTAAAAATAATTTTTATACCAATTAATAAATATTTTTTATATTAACAATTCTTAATGCATATTTTTTTATATTAATAATTCTTGTCTAATTAAATTTCATTTTATTAAAAAACTCATAATAAATAGATAAATAGGTAATTTGTGCTAGAGTTTTATAGAAACTCTTTTAAAACCACTTTTTAGATCAATTAATAAATAATTTTTTATATTAATAATAATTGTTTAATTAGATTTACTTTTATTAAAAAACTCTTAATAAATATATAAATAGGTAATTTGTGTTATAATTTTATAGAAAATCTTTAAATATTATATCTTTGTCTAGTGTGATAGAGTTTTATTGAAAATAAAATATGTAATTTGTGATAGAGTTTTATATAAATTATTTTATTTTCTTTAAATATATCCTTGTCTAATTAGATTTAATTTTGTTAAGAAACTCATAATAAAAGTTAATTTGTGGTACAGTTTTAGTAAAATTATTTTATAATATATCAATTAATAAATATTTTTATATTAATATTTTTTGTCTAATTATATTTTCTTTTATTAAAAAAATTCATAATAATAAATAGATCAATATGTTAATTTAAATTTTATTAGATCGATTTTAGAGCTTGATAGACTTTTTTTATTATTATTTTCTAAAAAAACTCTTTGCATATCGATTAATAAATATTTCTTTATATAAATAGATACTTAAATACTGAACCTCTTTCCACATTTAATAATAGTATAAATACAAACTTTTTTTATATCAATTAATAAATATTTTTTTATATAAATAAATAAATATTGAAACACCTTGGCAGAGCTTCTGTATTTTACTGTAAAAATTAGATTTTCTTTTATTAAAAAATTCATAATAATAAATAGTTAAATTTAAATTTTATTTGGTAGAGTTTAGAGTTTTTTATTTTTATTTTCTATATATATAAAAACTCTTTTCATATCAATTAATAAATATTTTTTATATAAATAAATAAATACTGAAATACTGAAACTCTTTGCACATTTTAGAAATATTTTTAAAATAAATAAATAAATACTGAAACTTTAGATTTACTTATATTAAAAAATTCATAATAATAAATAGATAAATAGGTTAATTTTAATTTTATTAGGTAGATTTCAGAGTTTTATAGAAATTTTTTTTTTCTTCTGTTTATTTTTTTTTTATATAGAAAAACTCTTTTCATATCTATTAATAAATATTTTTTATATAAATAAATAAATACTAAAATACTGAAACTTTTTGCACATTTAATATTTTATTTTCTTTAAATATATCTTTGTCTAATTAGATTTAATTTTATTAAGAAACTCATAATAAAAGTTAATTTGTGGTATTTTAGAAAAAATTATTTTATTTTATATATCAATTAATAAATATTTTTTATATTAATAATTCTTGTCTAATTAGATTTTCTTTTATTAAAAAATTCATAATAATAAAAAGACAAGTAGGTTAATTTAAATTTTATTAGATAGATTTTGGAGTTTGATAGAGTTTTTTTGTTTTTTATTTATTTATTAGAAAACACTTTTCATATCAATTAATAAATATATTTTAATATAAATAAATATTTAAATACTGAAACTCTTTGAACATTTAACAATAGTATAGATAAAAACTCTTTTCATATTAATTAATAAATATTTTTTATATAGAAAAATTTGTAGAGCTTGTTTTTTCTTTTATTAAAAAATTGTAATATGTAATACATGTTATAGTGTTATAGAAAATATTTTTAAAACTCTTTTTATATGAATTAATAAATATTTTTATATTTTAATAATTCATGTCTAATTAGATTAGTTATTATTAAAAAAAAACTCATAATAAAAGGTAATTTGTGGTAGAGTTTTAGAAAAATTATTTTATTTTTTATATCAATTAAAATATATTTTTTATATTAATAATTCTTGTCGTGTTAGATTTTCTTTTATTAAAAAACTTATAATAAATAAATAAATAGGTAATCTGTGTTGGAGTTTAATATAAACTCTTTTAAAAACTCTTTTTATATCAATTAATAAATATTTTTTATTTGAATAATTCTTGTCTAATTAGGTTTTCATTTATTAAAAAACTGATAATAAATAGATAAATATGTAATTTGTGTTAAAGTTTTGTAGAAACTCTTTAAATATATCTTTGTTGATAGAGTTTTATTGAAAATAAAATAGGTAATTTGTAATAGAATTTTGTAGAAATTATTTTCTTTTCTTTAAATATATCGTTGCTTAATTAGATTTAATTTTATTAAGAAACTCATAATAAAAGTTAATTTGTGGTAGAGTTTTATAAAAATTATTTTATTTTATATATCAAATAATAAATATTTTTTATATTAATAATTTTTGTTTAATTAGATTTTATTATATATAGATCAATAAGTTAATTTAAATTTTATTATGTAGATTTTATATCAATTAATAAATAAATACTGAAACTCTTTGCACAAAGGCCGAGAAAGTAGTACTACACTTGATCTTAACCAAAAGACCAAGAAAGGTTAGTCAAAAGGCCAACAAAAAAAAAATTTAATACTACACTTAATCTTAGCCAAATGGCCGAGAAGGTGTGATTA